TATTTCAGCTCTCATCTTTCCCCGACACGGTATATTTCGCCCCCTACTTAACGCTCTTATTCCACGAGACACCCCTCATCGCGACGACTCATCCCAATATCATCCCCTATTCTCCGGCACCTAACCCTCCGAAAATCCTGACCAATGACGTCCAGGCCGAGGGGATCCCATTGTCGATCCGACCAATCATCGTTGCTCGTTCCACGCACAGAGATCGGTTTCTGCGCGAGTAACAGACTATTCTTCGCATGCTTCTTTTTTCCTGCTCTGTCCCTCGTTCTGGTGGAAAAAGGGACGAGAAGGAGTAAGCTGCTTTAAAATGCATATCGATTTATGCCTAATGACTGACCGGGTCGCATCTGCGGATTAATAGTAGAACGGATGGATCTCTCTCCCCGGGAGAAGAAAGAGAAAGAACAATTCGCGCGCGCGCGCGACTAACAGCTTATCAGACCGTTTATTTGCCGATTATTTGCCCTTTATGTCACACTCCCGGGTAAGTTTTGAGTTCTCCTTCTCAATTCATTCGTATTCCGGCACGACAGTTACACGGTGTACTCGTATAGCGTTTTCGATACCGCGATTCGAAATCATTTCTATGCTAATGGACGCTGCGCTTCATCGATCATCGTTAAATGCAACGTCACCGAGTCTCATACTTGGTTATTTTGTGCTTGGGATCCTTATGGTGCTAAAGCACGATATTATCACATTATGATAATACAATCGTGATGCGCTGTTATGTTATTAAAAAATAAATTATGTCTGTATATTTTATTATATGCGAGGGAGAAGTATATTCAGAGTACATTGTAGCTGGTTTTATTAGAGAATCGCGTGGAAAACAAGTCAAATTATATGTAATAAGCATTTTTGTTTAGATATAATTAATGTTCAATTATCAGGTAATTTTATAAAATTGTTAAAGCTGTAATTGTGATATTGATATAATTAATATTCTGAAAAATATATATAATTACAGTAAATATAGAAGAAACTTGTCATTAAAAGATCTTAGCTTTTCAAAGTCAATCTTGTCATATATTATTGCATGATTTGTTCTATAATTTTGATTCTTTAATGAACGCCGATTTTCGAGAATCATGAAAAACAAGTTATTTAGTAATTTAAAGATAGAATTAAAACGCGCTGTTCATTCTTAGGATTATTAGTGCAAGTATATATAATAAATATATATGTTTTGTACACATACATAATTAATATATAACACATTATAAAATTATTAATAATATAATTGATTACAATTCTAATTCTAAATATATTGTATAATTAAAATAAAAATAAATATAGAAGGAACAATCAGCACTTCAAAAATAATATTTTTTCCATAATATTGCACGATTTACTCTATAATTTTATATACATTTTAACTTCTTCAAACAGCGTCAATTTTCGAGATAACGTCAAATAGATTTATATGTCATATTCAAATTCACTTCGGTCGCGAGGAAAACAATGGCGCAGAAGTGTGGAATGGAATACATACCGAGGAAAATATTTACCGTGCCACTTGTGAGAGGGGACGAAGTAGCGCTGCCAAATCGTATTTATTGACGGCGAAGTGAAAGAAGCGTGAGTGGAGTAGGACAGGAGAGAAAAAAAGGAACGTAATAAAGCGAGGTGCGTGTACGCGCAACGAGAAACAATACGTGAAGCCATGCATGGATCAAGGATCGTTTTTCGAAAACGCCAATTTATTTTTCGACGAGGGTCGTCGCCGCGCGAGGGATGAAGCAGAAATGAACCTTTATTCGTCGAGGCGCCTTTCATCATTTTTTAAACGGAATTTTATTCGCGTTCTTCGCGACGTTATTACGTTTGCAACTTGAAAACAAATCGTACGCTTTTGCATATCGATAATCTCGCTAACAAGGGAAGTTAGGCAACCCGGAAATTTAAAATAATTCTGAAACTTGGTGTACAATAAGTAGAGTAGTTTATCCATAACACAAAACTATTTTTTGTTCGCGCTGAATTACGTCCTAAGAGGATAAAATCATCCTTTATAAGTAAAATGATTTTTAGCTTCCCTCGTTTTATCTCGAAAATTATTTAAGATATTAAAAAATGTTTTATGGTAAAAACACCTTTATTTAACCACGTTAATAATATTTAAAAAAAAAATAATTTTTGAGGATTATTAATTTTGAAAAATTATTGTTTCAACATTTTATTAACGTGGTTAGATAGAATTATTTTGTATTTTTACCATAAAACTTTTGATTAAAACATTTTTAGTCGAATTTAGAACGTGATTCAGCACGAACAAAAATAAATTTGGATAAACTACTCTTCTTTTACACCAAGTTTCAGAATTCTTTGAATTTCCGGATTGCCTAACTTCCCTTGCAAGTAAAAAAATTAATAAATAAGAGAAGAGGAAATCTTACGATCGAATCTCTCCCGAATCGGGATAGCGATCAATATTTATAAATATCCGAGCGAGTTTGAAACGCGGGCTCAAGCTCTTTCCATAGGGGACACAATAGTTGTTACAACAACATATATATCTCTACGCGCGATTTAGGGTGGCGCAGCGTCGATCTGGGCGAGTCCCAAACTGTCAACCGTAGCGAGAGAAGAAGAGAGAGAGAGAGAGAGAGAGAGAGAGAAAGGGGAAGCTCACACACTCCACAATGGCGTCGGAAGGGTGGCGTTTGTTATAAATGAAAACGAAATTTAATCACACGTGATATACTGCTGCTCTATCCCCTTCCATTCGATCTTGGGGTGGAGTGCGCGAATCCGCATCGTGCGACCGAAAATACGGGCACCTGCGTGTGTGCATATATGCGATTTCATTATTAAAAGTCATTAAAAGCGGGTGGGCGAACGCGAAATAATATATACATTACCGCACGTGGTTTCTAGATTACGTGAAGGGAATGACAGATTTTTTTTTTCCAACGGAATCAATCTAAATGAGTTATTATATATTGCTGATGAAAATATGTATTCTTTTTTTCTCGACGCTTTTAATTATTCGTGAAAAAATATCCATTTCTCTTTCTTTAATATAAAATTATATATATATGAAAAAAATTGATAAGAAATGAAAAAATAAAAATAGATCAGTCCAAGATAGATATTAAATATTGCGATGATAAAATATGTATTCTTTTTTTCTCGACGCTTTTAATTATTCGTGTAAAAATCTCTCTTTAATATAAAATTATATATATGAAAAAAAAATAATAAGGAATAAAAAATAAAAATGGATCATTTTAAGAGAGAATTATTAAATATTGCTGATAAAATATGTAATTCTTTTTCTTGATACGCACTTTAAATTTTCCTTTGAAAAGTATCCCATTATTAAAATTATATTCATACGAAGAAAATATTGATGAAGAAATACAAAATAAGATTAAATCAATTATTGTACTTATTATATTTTAATTTTCGTAATTAGGTAAATTTTAATTACGTCAATGTTAAATTACGAAATTTGCGTCTTTATGAAAAAATAAATCTTATCTTTATACAGACAACTAAAATAATTATTACATATTAATTTATTATTTTAAATGAAATATCTCTCGCTTTCTGCATCTTAAAAATAACAAGATATTCTTTTTAAGCTAATAATATATATTATACTATCCTATCCTACATATACAATATTTTAATTTATGTCCTACGCTGATCGCAATCTATCGTAAAGTATTTATAAGAAGAGAGGAAAAACACAAACGACTCCCATAAAAAACAAAGCAGAAATCAGCAACCTTAGAAAAGAAGAAATGTTTCAACAACAGCGGATTCACAGTTAACGTCTAGCCGTCGCATCGGGATGCCCGATCCGACGAATAAATATGCAAATACCAGATCCGTCGGGCATAAAACGATACGATATGCGGCCCGGTAATTTCTTAATTGCGCCCCGAAAAAAATTCTTGTCATCGTAAACAGCCGGTTGATTACATTGAAACGGCTCGAGGCGCCGGCGACGTCTCGCGGATGTCACAAACGAACGAAAAAGAAAGGGAAGAAAGTAACCCTGGAATAAACACTAGACAGAGGACGACAGAGAGTAAACTTACTGCTGCCTCGCACTGCTTTATTTACAAGCGTATACATAATATGCCCGCGTGATCTTGGTTTACCTCGGTTGACTTATAACAGAGAAAACCGTCAACCTGTGGCCTACCTACACCTCTTCGTGATCTTCGCGACGGATAGCACAAGTGACGTTCCCGAATTAATCATTCTCTCACGCTCGGCCGAGTTTCGGCGAGATTCGTGGGTGACTCACGAGTAGAGGAGAGCTAGTTTATACGCGGGATATAATTTATACGATTCGGCGGTTTGCGGTAGATCTTTCGAAAACGGAGGTTTAATACCGAGGCTGTCCTTCTCTCCTTCGAGATGAATCGATTCGTGGAAAGGGCACATTCGAGTCTGATTCAGATCTGAGAGTAACCCGGGCGTCTCTCCAGATCGTGAACGTCACGTTGATGGGGATCTAAAAAAGATGCTTGAGAACGGAATTCGAGAAAGCCCGTAGTTTTGCCTTACATCTTTTTAATATTTCTCTCTCCCGCGGAAAGTTTATATACATCTATTTATTCTCGATTTCGTCATTTTATATTAAAATCGATGTAGTTCAAGAAATGATATATAGTATAAAGATTAAATTTAAGACATGTATATATATATAATATATATTATATTTATATTTTACATATATACATATAATAAATTATATATGTATTATATGCAATATATAAAAGCATTCATATATATTTATATATATGTTTATGTACAGATTCTGTCAGATATTTCCTGCATAATATAATCCTGCCTGATCTTATACGAAGATCTTCTCGTCCAACGTTAATAAAATTAACTTTATGAATTACCAATGAATTAATTCACTATAGTTATCGACCGATATATAAAGTCAATCAAAGATTTTTGCGATAGGAGAGATCAATTTGACTGAACGACAGGAAAAGTAGTAACCAGTAATGACTCACCGGTGTGCGTCCTCTTGTGTATCTTGAGATTCTCCGATCTAGCAAAGACCTTGCCGCAGCCGGGATGCAAGCAGGGAAAGGGTTTTTCCCCGGTATGCACCCTTATATGATTGACGAGCTTGTACTTGGCCTTGAAAGCTTTGCCGTCGCGCGAACAACCTTGCCAGTAGCACGCGTGCGTTGTGCTTTCGGCTCCGCCCACGTGGTCCATCTGTAGATGCGACACGATGTCGTTGAGGCTGTTGAAGTGCTTGCCGCAGAGCTTTCTCCCGGCGCCCACGTCCGGATCCATCCACATGCACGAGATCTCCTGATGCGCGCCGCCGTTGACCGAGGGAATGGGTCCGTCGATGTTCCTCATGTATCTGAGGAAACTGGCGGGAGGATGAGCCGTGGCCATGGCCGGATGCTGCGGATGCTGCATCGAAGTCGGCGGCAAGTGCGGCGGGGTTAGATACTGATGATGATGATGATGGGGTGGTATCCGGGTGTCTTGGGAATAGGGTGTCCCGGGATAGTGGGTTGCCGCCAGCGGGTGCTGGCCGGGATGATGCGAGAATTGCTGCATCGTGGTGGTGCCGTCGTGATGCAGCGACGTAAAGAGGCTTAACCCATTCTCGGGTGTGGTGGGACTCGCCGTGTTGAACTCGTGCTCCCGTCGCAGAAGGAAGTCGCGGCCGTAAGTCGCGTGGTGGCCCATGTGGTGTCCCATGTGCGAGGGAGGTATATGCGGGGCCGTGTGCGGATGATGCGGCGGATAGCCCTGATGATGGAAGTGGTGATGCTGCTGAGACGGCGCCTCAACCCCCGGGGGTGGCTGAACACTGACAATGTCGCCAGTTCCACCGGGCGCTCCACCACTCCCGGGTGACAACTTGAGATTTGTAATGTGATGCAACTGGGACGGCACGCCGTCTAACGTGTAATGTGTCATTGTGTCGAGATTTTCAACGTTGATGAACCTCGGAAATTAACGCCGGCAGGCAGTGACGGCGTGGAACATGTCGTGTCACGGTTAGATAAAATATATTTTTCCTTGGGAGGAACAGAGCCAGATATTTATATAACGCTATATAGAGTAATATAATAAATGTACAACGATTTTTAGTATCGATATTCGTTAGGCGCGCGTATGTAGGTTCACTTCATTCATTTCACTTATTTCGTTCTAAGCTTTCGTGAAAATATCTAGCGTCTAACAATTCCATATTGATACACCATCGCGTTCCATTGCGATCGACGCGCAATTTCACACGTAATGACGTATACAACAATGCGAACTGAAAAAAAATATGCAGATACAAGATCCCCCCGCTACTGGGACTTACTCGTTATCAGGCGATTCCGCGCGAATACATTTCGGACGAGTTTTGACAGTTAGCGGTACGGTATCTCCGATCGATCATCCTCAGGGGTCACTCGAGCACTTCGCAACCGTGCGCCGCAAAACGTGGGTTAAACACAACACACTTCTTTTCTCCCCGGGCGTCCGGGGCGCCTTGAACCAGCGACGGTAAAACACCCGTTGTGTGCTACTTGCTGCGTTCGCAGCGGGACTGGAAACTTGGGACTCCCGCCGAGGTAACGCGGTCGTGGCCCATCAGCCCCTACCTTTCCCTCCTGGGCGGAGTTTGACTCTTTTTGTCTCTTGCTGCGCCTGAGCCAACCTGGTGCTTCTTCACCCCACTATGTTTAACGCCGCCTAGTATCCCTTCCAACGCGCCATTTCCTGAATGGAGTCTGAACCCACTGTTGATCGTTTCCCCACCGGTACCAACGTTCCATTGGTGAAAGCAGCTTGGTGATCACCAGCTAGAGAGGCTCTGGTCGACCTATCGCGTGCGTGCGAGCATCATGCTTACCAGGGCGCATGTTCCGGTTCTGGGTTCACGCCCAGATGTGTGTTGGAGGGAAGGTGCAAATGATAAGGTTTCGCGATTTTATTACACGAAGAAGTGTCTTCCCGTCTCTTGACGCATAAACATCTCGTTTGGAATGTAACCACTGACGTTTTATGCGCCAGTTTCTCCAAGTTGTTCTTTATTTTGTAATCGTTAAGTTTAGTTTTTAGTATATTGTGCGATAGTTAGTGATAGATACGCGATAATTAGCTTAATCACAAGGTCTCCAGACCGACATTGCGAGCTAAAGAAATTGGGTAAACATTGGATAACGTTTTTGTTATCTATATATTTTCTATCTTTATTATTGTTTGTCAAAATCGAACAGTACACATTACTGTGTTTTGATACGAAGTTTTGAACGTTCGACAAGAAGATCTCTCAGAACTATAAGCATTAGAAATTTGTATAAACTTTTGCTATTATTACAGGAAAATGGTAATATCTCTTTCATTCTTAATGAAAGAGAAACGCAAATTATAATACATATAATTTAATAGTTATTTTTCAAATATAGAGATATATCTTTAAAAAAATAAAAAATAAAATGTAGACGTGAAAAATCGTTGCAAAATATAATTTTTTTATTTTAACTTTTCGTAAGAAAAATAAGTAATATAAAATAACACACAAATGAATGTTGAACTATCCACATTCTTTTTCTTCTCTTTTTTTTATATAGGATTTCCTATTTCGCCGTGCGAAAGTTTTGCTGGTTTTGCTTTTCTTTGTGCATCTATACAGGTAAACTAGAAGCCCAAGGGTATATAAGTCTAAGCGTATAGGCGTCTAAGAGACTAGGCAAATTCTATTCTACAAATTCAAATTTTGTAGGAATGCGATTAGTGCATTCTATTCTAATTCTCAAAGTACCTAAAAGCATTGTTAGATCGAGAAACTATACAAATTATTTTTTAAGTTTTTTTGAAAAAAGAGTCCGAATACAAATCTATGTCATCTCTAATTCGTCATGCGTCAATGACAGGTAGTAGATTCACAAAAACCTTTCCCTCGTATTATTAAAAAAAATGTTAACTAACTCTGCCATTCTTTCATTTATCCTCTTAGAATAGATTATTGTAGATTTGACGTTCATTCAAATTTTAAAAAGTATTTTCTTTTTCTCAAACAAGAGACACAGAAACAAAAGATTTCTCAAACAAAAGATTTCGATAGATTCAATATGGTAATCAACTAGTTAATTTTCATATACCTACATATACCAATTTATAACATTAACATTTCGAGATAAATCCCTTGTAAATTCTATTTTATACATTTATCATCTTTGTTATCGGAAACAGGTGATTACAGTCTACAAGACATTTTAGAAAAAAAATTAGTGGATAGTACATGATATATCTTCTCATTCATAAACAGCTTAATCGATATTTTAACTTGATTCTGTCACTATTTGCGACAGAAGAAGCATATCAGATTAATTAGCACTTTAAAATAGCTGTTGCAGTGCACGCTAATTGCTAGTCTCATGTAAATTACACTTATATTTGAAGTTTATGATACTGACGTCCTTCCCTGCTGTAATGAATATTTCCAATTTTATTAAAAGTAAAACAAATTATTTTAATTAAGGAAAAATGCGCAGATATAATATATATTTTCTCTTTCTATTAATATGTTATTTTCTCGTAAACATATAGTCTATTTATATGTAGGTATATATATGTGTATTTTTTATTAATAAATTATAAGCTATATTTAATTTTATATTATTATACGAAATTATGAATTATACGAAAATATGAGAATTAATGTCTCAATTGAGATATAAAAGATAAATATTATTTTTATTTATATATATTTTTTATAATTAGAAAAGTGTCGAATAAATAAGTAAGAATATTTTACATTACATAGAATAATTATTAATGAACCAAAAGGAAATAGAGTGAAAGAACATATATTCATAATTTTTTAAGGCTTTAAATTCACGTCAATCTCGGTATATAAAGTCGAGATTATTTTTATTCATTCTTTCAACAAGAGCTCGATTTCGTTTTATATACGTGAATCTATAATCTTTCCCAGATTCTCGCGTTTCGATATCTACACGCTATATAGCTATTTCCAGGGATCTTTGTTTAACGCTATTTCGTTCTACGTGCCGTTGAATATATTAACAGAACTTAATCATCCGCATAAATAATGCAAATACATCGAGTGCTTTAACGGGGTGCCTCATTGTCGCGGCAAAAAATGAAGTCCCATTATGTCCGTAATGGGCACGGTGGCTGACTATTTGATATTAATAACTACCATAAAGACGGACTCGCGTGGCTCTTTCGTGTACTTAGGAGGCACGCACTGAATGATGTTTTCCGTCCACCTTCTGTTGCTTTACTAACAGCGCGAGACATCGAGCGAAGACAAATCTATGCATATAACGCTTGAGCGAGTTTATGAACTTGCACTGGGCACACTCCAAAGATATATACTTTTTCCCATGCATATATTTTATCATAATTTTAAGGACCTACGTTGTTTTAGTTTCAGAAATTAGACAAATTTCTGGGAACTACTTGGAATCCAGTCAGATTTTTTAATTAGAGAAATGTGTAATGTTTAATTATTATATTATTATAAAATAGTTTGTGTGCCCAAATTAAAAAAATTTATATTTAATTTTTGAGACTCAATATTTTTATTAAAAATTTGAATTAATCAAATAGAGTCAAGAAATCAATTCTTAAATACTTTTTATAGAAAGAGAATTCAATTTTAAAATGATGAAAAACAGATGATACATTTTTCATACAATTTACTAATGCTTAATTGGTAATGCAGTACAATATATTATTATACCCTACAACATTTTTATGCAAAAATATATGCAATTTTATGTGTGTATATACATATTTTGTTTTTTATATTTTTAAATTTAGATAAAATTAAGTCTGCAAATCCTTCTCATATTATAAATGTGGGCGTGAATTTAATTTAATTTTTTTATCATTATTTTTTCACATTTGTAATATTTCGTTTTACACAATATCGATGTAATTCTTTGAAATTTGCAAACAATATCCAGTATAGAATTTCGCATTTGATCGCAATGTTTTCAATGATTGCGAGTGCATCTGTGTGCATACATTTGGTTCGAGGTTCGCCAACACAAGACGGATATTGTCTCAGTGGACTCATCAGTCATAACCGGTGCAGTCATTATATTTAATTAATCATTAGGCTCGATTTATTGCGTGGTCACGGCCAATGGCACAAGAAGGTTCGAGGATATTACCAGCCTAGCTTTCTGACTGGTGTATTCATTCTTTTTTTTTTTTTTTCATCTGCCTGTATGAATGGTGTAGAAAGAACACGGAATTAATATGATATTACAGACGTAGAAACCCTTAGATAAGCTTAATTCTTCCTCAAAGATTAATTTGCTAATTTTAATATATGATACAATTTTATATTTTTCATTTAATCAGACCTTTCAAGCTTTTCTGAATTATCTGAAATACTTGACAATTTATTCTTTATAATTTTTTTTATAAACAAAAATAGGTTTATTTTTAATATCTACAATATTAAATTTATTTTATTAATTATCATATCAAGTTTAGATTAATAAAAAAATCTCACAAAATGTGAAGATTATTATAGGATGCATTATAAGCTATTTTATATTTTTTTCTGAAAAACCTTTTATATTTTATATTACAATAATAAAAATATAATAAAAAACAATATAAATAATAATAATAAGAATCTTATATAAAATAATAATGAGAATATTTTTAAAAGACAGATTATTCTGAAGGAGATATTGGCATTTGATAATGTTTGTTTCCTCATAGCTTCTTTCTTCTTTTAGTTTTTAAACGCGTGTTTGGAGCGATTGATCAAGATTCAGGAGTACTAAATATATTTTTTTAATATATAGAAACAGGGAAAGGTGGAACTCTACGCGAAAATCAGCATAATTGGGTACGTCGCTAGAGTTTACTCTTAAAAGTTCCGTTAGGATCCTGTAAGAGCGTGAAGCTCTTCTTCGATAGACGTCATTCGTGTGTAAGACAAAGATATTTGTAGATTCTGCGGTAAGATTGGAGAAATAGAAATAGATAATGCCGTTAAAGCGAAGGAGGAGGCGATCTGGATCCGAGATCTTGTCTCTTGGAGTCATTAGTGAAATGACAAACTTTGTCGGCACACTTGTGGGATCTTGTTGGCCGTCGCCGACGCACGCGAGAAATCTAATAAATCGTTATTCGCTGAACGAGCACATTCCATGAACGTGTAAAGTCGTACAGGTAAAAAAGCGTCGGCTTTAATTAAACGTCACTGTACCGTTAATAATTAATCCCCTATTTTTACAAGTGAAAACTACAATAGAATAATTTTACGTAACATTCAATCTGAGGAAAGCAAATTTCTTTACATATATTATGCAAATACATTTTAATTTTAAATACAATTGTGCAATTCTTTTTAATTAATAATAATAATAATAAATAATAATTATAATAAAAATAATAATAATAATAAATAATAATTATAATAAAAATAATAATAATTGTAATTAATATATATAGTTATTTTATTAAGGTGATTCAAGATTATTTTATATTTTTATTTTATTGATGTCAAAGCATGTTTCCACATGATTTTTTGT